ATCTCTGGAGAGGGCTGGATCCTCCTTCCTGTCTTCCTCCAGATCTGTCCCAGCTCCCCTCTGATTCTGTYCCAGTTCCCCATCCAGCTCTGCCCCAGAGCCCTCCTGTTCTGCCCCCATCCAGTTCTGCCCCAGCTCCCCACTGGTTCTGCCCCAGTGCCCCACCTGTTTTATCCCCCTCCAGTTGTGCCCCAGCTCCCAACAAGTCCTGTCCGAGCTCCCCCATCATTTCTACCCCCATCCAGTCCTTCCCCAGCTCCCCTCCAGTTCTACCCTCGTCCAACTCTTCCCCAGCTCCCACCGGTTCTGCCCCAGCTCCACCAACTCTCTCCCCACTCAGCTCTTCCCCATCCAGGTCCTTCCCAGCTCCACATCCACTTTCCCCGCAGTTTCCAGCCCATCCTGCCCCAGTTCCCGTGGGTCTGGAGCAGCTTTCCCAGTGATGTCCTTGCTGTCCCCMCAGTGCCAGCCAGGAGCAGCTCCTGGAGGTGGCCCAAGGCCAAACCTCCCCGTGCAGCCTCACTTTTGACCAACTTGCCTGTGCACAGGTAAGGACAATCCCTGCTTCCCGTGGTGCTGGGATTGTTTTCCCTGGGGAATTCTTAAAACCAGCCCCAGTGGTGGTTGTGGGTGGAGCAGCCAAAGCTTTGTCCAGGTTTTCATCCACCCCGAGCCTTGAGGGTGGCAGTGCCACCCCTCCCAGGGAACATCTTCTCTGGGGCTCAGGAGTGGCTGAGCCACCACAGAGACCTTTTGGAAGGAGGATTTCCCTTTTCCAAACCTCTCAAGTGAGAAGGAAGGTGGAACAAAAGGTCTTTCCAAATCAAATTGGCTCTTAAAAATCGGCATCACAGCGTTGGAACAAATCTCTGTGGGAAAGTCGCCCTGGGCTGTTGGGATAAAGCACAATTAGAAGGGGTAAAAACACAATTAGAAGGGGTAAAAGTACAATTAGAAGTGGTAAAAACACAATTAAAAGTGGTTGCAGTCTGGACAATGCCACCTGGAATGTTCCAGGTTTGCTCTCTAAATAGACAACAATTGACATTTTTTGGGAAGTATTTCTTACAAAAAGAGGGCATTTCTGCAAATATTTGTTGGTGGGGTTTATTTTGGGKTTTTTTTGTGGGTTCAGGGCTTTTTTTTGGTGTTTCATTTTTTTCTTGATTTTRTTTTTTAATTCTACCATTTGTCAACTGTTTCCTTGAAAAATGTTTGGGAATGAAAAARCTCTCCATGCGAGTTTCTAGTTAGATCAAATGGCAAATTTTTGGAGAGTTCTTTGGACAGAATGTTTAAAACCTGTGCCAGTATTTTCCCCCACTCAAGGGAGAATTCCTTTCCAAATGCCCAGGTGTGGATGAACCACCTGAAGGTGATTTCATCTCTAGACATAATCCATCCATCCTTKATCATCTTTATTTGCATTTCCCTTTGTTTTTCCAGGGAATTTGGCTCCAGGACCTTCAGGATGATTTCCTCATTTCCTTATATTCCTGCCTGGCCTCCAAACCTGTCACGGCTGTGGATCCAGAATATTCCATTCTCTTCTTTTCCAAATATGACACCAAGAAGCTTTTGGCCTCCCTGGCTGCGTTCAGCCAGCGGGTAAGTATTCCCAAATCCAACTTTTTGTTCTCCAGGCAAAGGTTTTCTTTCAAATTCCTCACTTTTTTACCTTATTTTGGRAAGAGCCTTATTCCAGCTAACAATTTCTGTTCCCAGCATTCAGATTCACGCGGGCTGATGTTGATGTCTGGTTGGAATTCCCTGAAATTCATGGGTTTCTCCTCCTCTCTGCTTCCAGTTTTCCCACGTGCCGCTTTCCCCGGAGTGGAGCCTGGTCCTGGTGAACGGGCTGTGGGAGAGGATTCTGCGAGTGCCCGGCATCGAGACCCCCCCAGTGCTGGCCCAGTGGGTCCACAGGGGGCTTCAGCCATTCCTGGTGGATCCCGAGGTCTTTGGTTGCCTCCGTGCCAAGGATGTGTCCTGTGAGGAATTCCGGCTGGTGTGAGTGTGAATGTCCCCTCTGTGTCCCCAGAGCAGCGTCCTGGGACATCCTGGGATGGGGAACCACTTGGGGAGCTCTGGAAAAGGGTGGGATTGAGAATATCTGGGTTTTGTGAGAGCCCAGCACTGACCTGAGCAATGTTTGAGGTGTTTGCCTTCCTCACCCCTATTTAGGGTCGCTGCCCTGGATGGAATCTATTCCCAACTCCCTGTGGAAGAGCAGAGGAATCTTTACACTGGGATCAAACACTTCCTCATCCAGGACGGTAAATGACTTGATTTTCTTCCAGAAAACCCAGAATTCTTAAAGCCACTCATGAAATGAGCTGAGATCTGTCCCAGGGCTGAGCCTGCGCAGAGTTTTTGTGAATCTCCAAAGGAAACAAGCTGGGAATGTCAGTGAGAAGCAGATTCGGGAATCATTTCCCTGACTGAAGGCTTTATTAACCTGAGATTTTTATTTATAAAAAGGCCATTTACTGTTTTTGGTGGGAAAGGGAGATGCAGGGTTTGGTTCTGATAGTTAAAGGATCCAGCTCAGAAAGGGACCCAGGCAGGAGCTTTCATGCACAGATTGAATGTCCTGGAAAAAGCTTCTGGCAGATTTGGAGGGAGGAACAAACAGGCTGGRGATGAAATGTTTGGGAGGCTGGGATTTTTTTCTTTAAGCATTTGTCCCATCCCTTGGAATTTGTAGTGTGAAGATGGGGATTTGAGTGTGACAGAGGCATTCCAGAGCTCTCAGAGTTCCATGATGGACTGAAGCCTCTTCCACTCTCAGAAATCTCTAATTCCTGCAGATTTCCTGACCCAGTGCAGATGATTTGATGGTGTCTGTTTCTCTGACTGCAGAATCCAACCAGAAATGCTTCAGCGAAGCCATTCCAGCTCTGAATTCCACGGCTTGGTTCCGGAATTATCTTGGGTCCTTCCTGGAGCATGCCACTGTGGACGACCTGCAGCTTTTTGCGGATGAGCCAACGGTGAGTGCAGCCTCCTGGGGATAGAGAGCTTAGGAGGTCCCAATCCTGCCCTGAGCCAAATCAGAACCCCAGAATGGTTTGGGTTGGAAGGATTTAAAGCTCACCCATCCCATTCCACCCCCTGACATGRRCAGGGACACCTCCCACTATCCCAGGGTGCTCCAAACCTCATCCAGCCTGGCCTTGAAATCCCTGGAGTGCTGCTATCAGGAATAGTTCTCTTGTTGATATGAGGTGAACACTCACTGCAGTTATTTTTTCCCYCATCATGTGATGGGAGGGACTTGCCCAGAAGTTGGTTTCATGTAGGKAATTCTGCAGGAAGCACACTGGAATCAATAAGAGGAACTGCCCCGAATTTGGTCAAGGTCCCAGTGTTCACTTGAAAACAAAACAAAAAAAYCTCAGCACAACTTTAAACCCAGCTGAAAACCCCTGATGTTGGTTCAAACCATCCCAAGAGACTGTCAGGATTGAAAGATTCATCTGAATTATTTTCCTTTTTATTTCTTTTCCCCCTCAGCTTCAAAAGTTYGCCAGGGATCCGATCGATGTAGAGATGGTAAAGAACCTCAACTTGCTCCGGGAGACTGCTCTGTACTACACCCTCCTCCTGACCTCTGCTCCTGGTTTTRCACTGTCCAGGTATGGATCTGATGAGATCTGATTTCCTGGGATGGCTCGGCGTGGGGACTGTGATGTAGCAAGAGTTTGAGTGGGGGTTTCATTTAAACCTCTTTTAAAAGTTCTGTTAATTTCCTGTTTGAAGGTTTTGATAATTTTCTGTTTAAGTGTTCTGTTAATTTTCTGTTTAAGGGTTCTATTAATTTTCTGTTTGAAGGTTCCATGGAGTTTCTGTTTAAAGGTTTCCTTTTCAAATAACCCCACTGCCCTGAGTCTCGAGGAGAGCCAGATCCCAAGTTCTGTTTCTTGGGAGGTGATTTCCCTGCAGTGCCAGCTCCACCTGATGGCCAGAGYTTTCCAGGGCATGGCAATGCTCTCTGAGCTGGAGCACTGGCATCATCAGAGCTAAAAGGAATTGGGGGAAACATGCCTGGGACAAAGCATCCTCAGGAAAAGGGGAAAGGTCTGATGGAGTCCCACTGTCCTTTTTCCCCCCCAGCCTCCCGGACAGGTTGATTTGCTTCCTGAGCCCCTCAGCCATCAGGAACCTTAGCAAGGAGGAGGCTTTGGCCGTGGCCCAGCGCCTCGGGAAGAGCTGCCCATGGAGCAGAGGGATCCCTGGAGGGAGATCTCCATCCTCCCTGACAGCCCCAGAGCTGCAGGTGAGCCCTGGGAATCCACAACACTTCACAAATCCCAGCAGGATTGGGGTCAGCTCTGGTGTCCCCTCCTGTCACACCCCGCTAGGTCACCATGTGCCTTTGTTGTGGTGTCTGGCTGTTGTTTGCACCACCCCGCAGCTCTCAGTGGGTGGAAATTATCCCTCAGCAGCCTTCAGCATAAAAAYAAAAATAAAAGAGGCAGAAATCTGGGGTTTTAAGGCCTCCAAAGGCTGTGGGATCGGTACCTCCCTCATGGCTCCTCTGACTGCCCATGGCGCCTTTGCAGGTCGCGTCCTCCCTGCTGAGGAAGCTGGAGGATTTCTCTCCAGCAGTGCTGGAATCCTTGGGCCAGGCTGTCCTGGGGCTCTCCGTGTCCAACATCCAGAGCAGCATTCCCGGGCAGGACCTGCGAGCGGCTCTGCCCGCCCTGGGGAGGATCCGCGGCTGGAACAATGAGCAGGCCTCGGCCATCGTCAGCAAACTGCTCCGATCCGGCTACCAGGTACACAAATCCACACATCGGGGGAATATCCTCATGGAATGGGGGAATATCCTCATGGAAGGGGGAATTTCCTCATGGGAAGGGGAAATTTCCTCATGGAAGGGGGGAATATCCTCATGGAAGGGGGAATTTCCTCATGGGAAGGGGAAATTTCCTCATGGGAAGGGTGGGAATTCCCTCAGGGGAAGGGAGGCAATATCCTGATGGAAAGGAGGAATTCCTTCATGGGAAGGGTGGGAATTTCCTCATGGGAAGAAGGGAATTTCCGCATGGGAAGGGGGGAAATTTCCTCATGGAAGGGGGGAATATCCTCATGGAAGGGGGAAATTCCCTCATGGAAGGGGAGAATTTCCTCATGGTAAGGCTGGAATTTCCTCATGGAAGGGGGGAATTTCCTCATGAGAGGGGGAGAATTCCCTCGTGGGAAGGCGGGGGGGAATTTCCTCATGGGAAAGGGGAAATTTCCTCATGGAAGCAGGGAATTTCCTCATGGGAAAGGGAGAATTTCCTCACGGGAAGGGGGGAATTCCCTCATGGAAGGGGGCCATATCCTCATGGGAAGGGGGAAATTCCCTTGTGGGAAGGGGGGAAATTCCCTCATGGGAAGGGTGGGAATTTCCTCATGGGAAGGGTGGGAATTTCCTCATGGGAAGGGGGCAATATCCTCATGGAAGGGAGGAATTCCCTCATGGAAGGGGAGCAATTTCCTCATGGAAGGGGGGAAATCTCTCATGGAAGGTGGGGGGCAATTTCCTCATGGGAAGGGGGGAATTCCCTCATGGGAAGGATGGGCAGGCACTGGAGGGCAGGCACTGCCCAAGGAATTCCTGGAGATGGCACTCGGAGCTCTGGGCTGAGGGCAAGGTGGGGATGGGGCACAGCTTGAGCACGGGGATCCCTTATAACCTTTGCCAGCCTGAGTAATTCCRGGATTCCCTTGCAGATCGTGGATGGACAGAGCCTGGCCGAGCTGGGCAGTTTGGTGGGCGGCCTCAACAGCAGCACAGTGCGGGCTCTGGCCCCACAGGTGGTTTTGGAAGCTCTCCAGCTGCCCAGCTTYGCCCAGCACGTGGACACGCTGCCCCCGGCCCTCAAGAGGACCTTGGTGGAAAAGGTGACCTTGATTTCCCTCTGCAGGAGCCAAACTGGGAGCACTGGTGACCCAGRGCGGGGTGTGACACACCTGYGTGCCCAGACAGCATTCCCTGCTGGAATTTGTCATGGCCAGACAGGAAAAGCATCTCAAGTCCTCTCACTGTGCCTGTGTGGAGGTCCTTAGCCCACTCAGCCTCTTGGGGACAAGGGCAGYAGKGATTTGTTTTRTGGAGTGATTTGTTTTATGKAGTGATTTGTTTTATGGGGTGGTCCCAGAAATTTCTTCCTTATGGATGCTCCCAGGAAAGAATATAAATAGAGCAGAATTAATTAAAGGTTGGACTCAATCCTGGAGGTTTTTCCTGCCTAAATGATTCTCTGGTTCCGATGTTGCCGTGATTTGGAGTAAGGAATTTCTGTGGTTTGATTTATTGGAGTTTTTTTAAAGGTTTCCTCCAGCRTTGCCCACCCTGCTGAGCTGGTCAAACAGATTCCCGACACCCTGGCCAGCTACATCCCAAAATCCCTGCTTGTTTTTGGGGAAGACAAGCCCAATGTCCAGGACCTCAACAACAAAACGTGGACCAGAGAGCAGGTATGGGGTGTGGGTCCTTCCTTCCCCCTCCCTGCCATCCCTGGCTTCTGTGGGGCCATGAATTYCACAAATCCACCTGGAAACAGGGCCATTTCTCCTGGAAAACCTCTGAGCTCTGATTTGCTTCCCAGGCTGCCATGTTTTTCAGCGATGTGGTGAAGGCAGAGCCCGACTTCAGCAGGTAAAGATTGCCCTCTTTCCCTTTCCCACGTTTGTTTTGCTGACAATTCCCAATTTTCCCGCAGTGCATATGGCACTCCCACCCTGTTGGATCCATAGAAACAGATGGGAAACCAAATGTAAACCCAAACACAGACGTGGCACGCTGAGATTTACCAGGGCTCAGCTGTAAAATACAACCCAGGAGCCACATTTTCTTGCTAAARTGATGCTTCTGGTTCAGGCTGCACCTGGAATCTGGCACCAGATTGCCTTTGGAAGGCATTTCCAATCAGGGAACACGCCAGCCTTCCACAGGGCGATTCCAGGGATTGATTTAGAGGGGCTGGTACAAACTTTTGAAATATCTGAGATGAAAAATCATGAAAACCATGATTTAAATCTGGAAAATCATGGAATCAGCATCAGTGTCCTGCTCTGAATGCACCTTCCTGAGGACCCTGTCCTGATTTTCCTTCTGGGAATGTCCAGKCTTTCCCAGTCTGTCCTCCAGGGCTTCACCTGCGCAGCTGTCGATGCTGTGGATGCAGAGAGGTTCCAGGAGCTGGCCAAGATCATGAGGAGGAAGAATGTCAGGCTGGGAGAGGACCAGGTAATTCCCAAACTGCAGATGTTTGAAGTTGTTCTGAAGGTACCAATGAGGATCATTCAGCCAGAACAACCCTTGGAGCTGAAGGGACTGGAGCAGGAATGTGYTGGGGAGGTTAGGATGGATTTTAGGGAAAGGTTCTTCCACCAGAGGGTGACACAGGCACGGGGGGATTGTTGGGGTGTCTGGGCAGAGCCAGGAGTTGGACTGGATGGTCCCTGTGGGTCCCTTCATGTGAACAAATGYCCTGGATGTCCATCTCACAGTTCCGAATTTCTCTGAAAACAGGAGCAGTCCAAATCCAAATTGATTCTCAGGAACCAAACCCTCTCATTCCCATCTTTCTTCCCCTCATTCTTTTTTCTTTCTTCAGAGCAGAGTAAAATATTTCMATTATTTTATCTTTTCCTTATGTTTTCTGCTCATTTCTCTCTTTGATGCAATCCCTGGTGTCCTTCCAGCTGAGCTGTTTGCTGAAGATGGTGACGCTGCATGGCATTCCCARGGATTTGGACAGTTATCCCAAAGACCTGCTGCTGTTTTTAAGGTAACTGTGCTCTGATTTTCATGTGGTTGCCTTAGTATTTAATGGGAAAAAGAGGGATTAGTGCAGAACTCTTTAGGCCTCTCTATGGGGATTAAAAAGTAGGATTGCAGGAAGCTGAAGAAGGGTAGATTTWTATGGRATTTTGGGAAYAAATCCTTCCCTGGGAGGGTGGGGAGGCCYTGGCASAGGGTGCCCAGAGAAGCTGTGGCTGYCCYTGGATCCCTGGAAGTGYCMARGGCCAARTTTTAGCATTCTCAGGCCTCTGAATGGGTTTTTCCTTTACAGCCTCAAAGAAAACTAGGAATAAAGTGTATCCCCTTGTTCTAGTACCTTCCCACTGTGGTTCTGTATCCAAACCTTTTAAGACTTTTTAAAAACCTTAAAAACAATTTAAACCAGACCTTAAAAACAATTTAAACTGATCCTTTAAAACAATTTTAAACTGGGTTTTGCAGCAGTTTCCTAAAGGTGAAAATTAATTTTTAAAGAATGTGGAAGAGGGGAAAACTAGGGAAGGACAACCCACGGAGCTCAGTGAGCAGATGTGGAAGATATTTTAATGGGCATAGCACATGCTGAGCTTGCCATCATTCCCAAACTTCATGGAGAATTTGTCTTTCCAGCCCCTCGGACTACGCAGCCACRGGGAGCTGCAGGCAGTTCTTCAGCAATGTTGGGCAGGCAAACGGGGATGTTCTGCCCAGAGAGGCCCCTCAGAGGCAGCAGCTGCTCCTGGAGGCTCTGGAATGTCTGGTATGAGGAGAAGGATTGGGGTTCTGCAGGGATGGGGATGCAGGGATGCTCTATCCCATTAACACCTCCACCTTGTGCTGTTCCAGAGAATCCCTGGCACTCAAATAAACGAGGAAGATGCCGAGATCCTGGGCTGGCTGGTCTGTGAGCTGGATGGGGASTACATCAGGGGCTCTGGTGGCAGCTTGCTGAAGGATCTGAGCCACTGTGGGTCCTTCCTGCCTGACCAAGAGGAGGCCATCAGGGACGTCATCAGCAGTGGCAACACCACCTTTGGGTATGGATTGTTCTCCTGGCATGGGTTGTTCTCCTGGCATTGGTTTTTCTCCTGATATGGATTTTTCTACTGGTGAGGGGTTTTCTCGTAGTAGGGTTTGTTCTCCTGGCATGGGTTATTCTTCTGGCGTGGGTTTTTCTCCTGGTGTGGTATTGTTATTCTGGTGTGGTTTGTTCTCCTGGTAAGGGTTTTTCTCCTGGTATGGGTTGTTCTCCTGGTAAGGGTTTTTCTCCTAGCATGGGTTGTTCTCCTGTCATTGGTTTTTCTCCTGGTTTTTTTTCTCCTAGCATGGTTTTTTCTCCAGTATAGATTGTTCTCCTGGTATGGGTTGTTATCCTGGACATCACCAAATTGCTCCCTTAATCAAATACATTGCTCTACTAAAACCTGAGTGAACTACAGCCAACCACCTTGACCAAAAATCCTCCAAAAATTTATTCTTTTTGAGCTTTACATTAGGTCTTTTATGTTGTTTTGGTTGAAATTATTTCAGCTGAAARGCCTGGCTGGAATTCTCCTGAAAAATAAGTTGTCATCTCTGTGTCTCTCTTGCTCTAGTTATAAAAACTTTTCTTTTGGTCCATTTTTCATTAACCAAACCTCTCTGGCTGTCCTGGTAGTCACAGGTGTGTTCAAGCTGTTTGTCAGCTGCAGCCTTGCAGGAAACATTCTGCCTCTACCTGTTCAGTGACAGGTTCCTGATAAATGCCTGATTCCAACTCAGGGGGAAGCAAAATATTTTCCTTCCTCTATCAGTTGCCCCAAGATCTTGGCACTGAGTTGGGCCATAGTGAGCAACAGAAATTCTTTGGCTTCTATGCTTAAGGAAAGAATGTGTTTGTTCAAGGCCCTTTTCCCACCCAGCTGCCATGATTCACATCCCTGACAACTTCCCCTGCTCTGCTGGAAGGAAGTTTGGGGCAGCAGGAAGCAATTGAGGTATTTTAGGATTTAAACCCCATGTTTTCTTAACGTCAGATGTTACAAGGATGTAATCCTGGGGGATTTAAAGGTGTTTTTCTTTGTTTTGTTCCTCCTTGAGAGCTGATCCCTGCTCAGTTTTGCCCGTTTTTGCTCTGCAGGCCTCCTGCAGCGTGGTCAGCCTTCACCCTGAGTGAGCTCAATGGGCTGATCCCCGTGCTGGGTCACAGCATCCTGCGGCAGATTCCCAAGGTGGGTCCTCCAGGCAGGGGTGGGGAGTTTGGGAAGCACTCCCGGGGCTCAGAGCATGGATAGAATATTCTGGGAGCTGTTCAGTCGGTCTGTTTCCAGCATTTTCCCCTTTTGCAAGAAGCCTGGTGCCAAAGGGATGGCGCTCTGTGAGAAGTGAGGGTTCCTCGAGMTGACAGCCTGGAGCAGCTCCCTGTCAGTCCCTTCCTGTCACTGCAGTGGAGCTCCAGAGGGGGAGAGCAGGAATTAACTCTGCACAGCACTTTGTGGTGGGCTGGGGAAAGGGAGAATTCCARCATTTAAGGGATCACTTTTGGCTCAGCAGGGAAGGATCCCCGGGCTCAGAGCCTGCTGCAGGAGTGGCAGGGGTTGTACTGGGGGCACAGCCAGGATCCCAGCGATTCCCAGATCCCCCTGATGATCCCTTTTCCTTGCAGAATGCTTTAACCACCTGGCTGAGGAACTTTGCCTGGGATTCCTCGCTGTCCAGGGCAGACCTGGCCGCCGTYGTTGGGGAGCTCCTGCCCAGCCGGCACAAACGTGCAGATGGTGAGGGAGCTCCCTCTGATCCACAGGAATTTCCACTGGGATCAGGGATTACCCTACAGCCTGGGGCTTGTCAGGCACTCCTCCCAGGGAGGTTGGGAGTCCCCATCTCTGGAGGTGCCCAAGGAATTCCTGGAGGTGGCACTCAGTGCCCTGGGCTGGGGACGAGGTGGGGATGGAGCACAGATCAATCTTGGGAGGTTTTTCCCACCRAAACGATTCTGGGATTCGAAGGTTGGAGCAAAAGGATTTCATTTAACCCTGGGTTTGCTGGGGCTTCCCCAGGTTGCCCAGCTGACCTGGAGATCACACAGGACATTCTGGACAGTGACCTGATGCCCACCTWCTATACCCCCGAGGAGCTGCGCGCCTGCCTGCGGAACGCCTCCGTGGAAAATCACCTCTCCCAGATCCTCACCTACCCCTTCAGCATCCAGCAGCTGGCTGTGCTCAAGGAATACATGGATGAGGTAATACCAGCCGAAAAATGGCAAATTCCCACTGATGGGRTTGCTCAGGGACTCGCCCTGGTGAATTTAGGATCTCCAGGGACCACTATTCCAGCATCTCTCAGCTCCTCTCCCAGGATTTGCTGGGATAACACCTATTTATTATCTCTTATTTCTATCTCTAATCAGAGTTTTCCTTGCCTGTTGGCCCTCAGCCCTTCACTGAGCACCTCTGAGCAGAGTGTGGATCCATCCTCCCTCTGTTCTCCCATCAGAGAGCTGGGAACAGCCCTGAACCCATCACTTCACCTTCCCTCAGAGCTGATGCCTGAATCCAGCTCCCTAAACCAGAGGCTGGACAAAATTCAGAGAATAAAAAGCAGTTCTGTTTATTGCAGGGCCTTCARAGCAGTCCCAGCCCATCCAGGGGCTGCACTCAAAATGGACAATGACTCATGAGTTTTTTATGCTTTCTCACTTTTGTCCATTTGCACATCGGGGCTGAATCCTCCAATTCCAGCTTCAGCCAATGCAGTCATTCACTCCAAGTTGGCTCCCCCAATTCTCTGTTGTTTTCATCTCTTGGGGCCTGGCACAATGAGGTGTCCTTGAGTTTGGGGCTGGAGGGGAATTGTTTTGTGTAAAAATGGGAGAGGAGGAGCTCAGCACTGTCTGTGGGATCTGGAGTTACCCACTGAAGAGTTCCAGGGTTACAAATACATGGAAATAGAGAAGCTGAAATCCTAAGACATCAGAGTGAACCCCATGCCCTCACCCCACTGCCACACTCTGTACTCACAACAACGCTGTCTCCACAGAGGTATCCCAATGGGTATCCCGAAAATCTGCTCCCCAGCCTGAACCCTCTGCTGCCCCTCATCACCCCAGAGGAGGTCTCCAGCTGGAACATAAGCTCAGCTGACATGTTGGCTGCCTTCCTGAAAAGCCAGCCCTCGGACTCTCTGGTAGGGTTTGCTTCCCMGATTTGGGGGCTGGTTTGGGATTAACTGAGTGGGCTCAAAGGTGGTYGAAGCATCCGTGGTGCCACGAGGTTGGGTGGCCCAAGGAACAGATTTGAAATGGTTCTGTTTGATTTTTTTCATTATTGCACGTGTTCCTTTGGGGGATGAAACTATGAGTTCTGGTTCAATTAAATTAATTAAACTAATTGTGTTTCCAGGCCTCGGTGGCAATCAAACGCTACATGGAGCTGGGCAACCCCTTGAACACCACAGCCCTGAATGCCATCGGCATGGGCTACGTGTGCCTGCTGAACACCACTGACCTGGAGGCCATCCAGCCCTCCAGCCTCAAGTRAGTCAAAAATCAGGATGTTCTTGGCTCCTGGCAAAAATCTTTTCCCATCTGTGAGTGCTTTTCCTTTTTTTCTGCACTCAGGGAAAGGAAATTTAGGAAGCAGCTTGGAACTTGCCCTGTGTCAGGTTTGAAACCTTTGTGCCTGTCCTGCCAGGAAGGGCTCAGATTTCCAATCAAACCTGATTTCATCTCAGCAGGCAGTAGATCTGGACTCTTTCTTTTTTCTGCTTTCATCTGCAGAAGACTTATTTAAATTTAATTCTGTAGAATTAGACAGTCGTTAAGGTTGGAAAAGGCCACCAAGGTCATCACCCACCAGCATGGTTAACACTAAACCAGGTCCTCAGGTGCCACATCCTCTTGGGTTTTAGGCATTTCCAACTTTAATTCCTCTCAGAGACTGGAAAATGAAATTAATTAATTATGGTTTGGCAAGCACACTAATTTATTGGGCACCATCAGAGCCATCATCGCTTGAAAGACAATTCTCAGCAGGAAACAGAGCCATTATTTTTCCTCTCAGCTTCCCTACATTCATCTGGGAAGAAGGATCACCTGTCCTCTGCAGAGAATCCCAAAAAACCCACTCAGAATAAGTGAAAAACACAGAGGTTGAGGATAATAGAAGCTTGTTTCACTCTAAATCTTTATTTTACTGCAGACTGGCATCTCTGGATCCTTCAGCCTGTTCCCAGCAGACGAAGAACATCTTGTACCAGAAAGCCAAAGCTGCTTTCGCTGACCAGCACCATTTCCCTGCTTACTATGAGCTGATTTTACCTTACCTGGGTATGTAAAAATCCAGGGGAAAGAGACTTCTCAGCCGCAAGCCCAATGGGTATCCAAATCCATCAAAGATTTGGGAATTTTCAAAGCCAAGTTGTTAAAAGTTTGTCTTTCCAAACTGAGGGTGGCCTAAAGTATTACTGAAGGATTCTGTGCCTGCTTTGAGTTGCCCAAATCAGTTGTCAGAGAGCATCCCAGGGAAAATCAAACTCAGGATTTATCTCACAGGGTTGTTTTTTTCCCCTTCTGTTAAGCCAAGAATTTTTCCAARCCCTTCTCACCCCTCAATCCGTTGTGTGGCACTGCCACGGATTTTTAACACCCARCAAAACCACTCCCAATAAAAAAGGAGCAGCATCCATATATTTTGCAGCTGGATCTCACTGTGGCACCAACCCCAGCCTAATGGGTTTTTGAGAAATCCTCAGTTTGTGCAGAGAACCCCAGCAGAGCTCYTTTGGGGTCCCCCATCCCTTGATCTTCTCCTTGCTTTGCTCCCAGGGGGTGCTCCTGCCGCAGATCTCAAGGCTCTCAGCAAGGACAAYGTCAACATGAACATCAGCACGTTCGTGGCTTTGAGAAAAGACTCTCTGATGGTGAGCTGGGCCTTGGAATTCTGTGATTCCTTGTATTTTGTAATGTTTTTTGCTTGGGTTTGCTGCTGCTGTCCATTGAAGGAAATCAGGCTGATTCCATCAAATCCAGAATGATGCTGGAATGGTAGAAAGTGGAGAAAAGACCTGAAATTACTTTGAAAATGTAATTTGGGGTCCAAAATGGATGTAAAGCCAGTGGAATTGCTTCAGGGCAGGCCCTCCTGGTGGCAGTGGCAGGGGACAGGGGACCACAAGACCACAGAACTCCASACAAGRCAACCAGTAATGTCACCAGTTTGGRAGGAAATCCCAGTGATTTAAACAGGGTGGGAGCCCCAGCTGAACATGGGAGATTTGGCATCAGAGGACAGCAGAACGAGCCCTTGAGGGACCACCAYATCCCRAGGGAARGTTGTCCCAGTGAAACCWCTCCCAGGAATTTCCCCTGTGCCARTGGAAACCCCATCATTTCCCAGGCCAGAAGTGCCGTGTCCATGGCCACACTGCCACCCCATATCTTTCTCTGTGATTTCTCCTAGAGCCTGACCCCTCCTGARGTGCAGGGTCTGCTGGGGCTGAACCTCCCCGAGCTGGCCCGGTGGCAATACCGGGCTCCCGTCCGTGACTGGATCCGGGTGCAGAAACAGTCRGAGCTGGACAAGCTCCACATTGGCCTCACGGGGGGCACACAGGAGGGCTACATCAACATCATCACCCCCAGGTTCCCAGGTATTTCTGGGGCCTCTGATGGCTGGGCTTTAAAGGTTTATTTTGGGGTTGCAGCAAGGATTGAAAATGGGACAGCAGGTTCTTCTCTGCTGAGGAACCCAAAGCCCTACAGGGGAAATTGTGGGTGCAATGYGAGGRRCAATCCTRGAATCCCACTGGGAKCATCCCTGCTGGCTGAGCAGCCCARCTGAGGGAGTTYCAGGCCTTCCTCCTYRGTGGGGGRTTGGATTTGGGCTTAGAATYGGGATYACAGGGTGGTTTGGGTCGAAGGAAACTCAAAGACTCCAGTTCCAGGCCCCAGGCTCAGATCGGTGATGCTGTGTGCCAGGGTCAGAGAGGAAAGGAGGATCCCTGGATGGGGCAAGGAGAATCTCTGGATGGGGCAAGGAGAATCCCTGGATGGGGCAAGGGAAATCCCTGGATGGGCAAAGAGAATCCCTGGATGGGACAAGAGGAATCTCTGGATGGGGCAAGGGAAATCCCTGGATGGGCAAAGAGAATCCCTGGATGGGCAAAGAGAATCCCTGGATGGGGCAAGGGGAATCTCTGGATGGGGCACAAAGGGAGGTTTTCCCCACAGTGGTTTGGTCACTGATTTCTTTGCTCTCATCCCCTCTCTGTCCTCCAGCACTGTCCTCAGCCCCTCTGGGGAGTGTGGCCATGGCATTCCACCTCCTGCCTGCCCTGCTCCTCAGTTTGGTCATGATGTCCATCTTGTCYTGACCATCTCCTCCCAAGAGGAACCAAGCTGAGGGGAACCAGCCTGAGACCTGCTCTGAGAGCTGCAGTGAGGAGTGCCCAGAGCTCCAGGCAGCTGGGATCAGCTCAGGACTCACTTTTAGGTACTTTTGGCTTTCAAATCCCTTGGAAAAAAAAAACAAAAAAAAACCCAACAAACCCCAGTTCTGTCTGAAGGGAAGATTCCAGACTCCTTGGAGGAGAATCTTTGCCTTTGGTACAGCCTCAGTCCAGGCCAGCCCCAGCTAGACCAGGTCTTGCTGCTGGGTTTAAGGGTGAGTTCTTCAGGTTAAAAATTACTTTTCTCAGAGTCTGACCTTGTGACACTGCCAAGACCTCAGGGTGGGAGTGAAATTTCCCGKCTGCTTGTAAATAAATGCTGGAACTCAGTAAAAATGCCAAAAGCAAATCGATGAGTTGCTGTTGTCTKCTCTTCCTTGAGGCTGCCCTCACCTTCCTGTCTGCAGGAATCCCCCCAGTTTAAGTGTTCAGAATCCCAGGATCTACCTGTTGCTTTTCCCTGGACTTGGCTGCTCAACATTTTAGAGCTGAGGCCATTCCCAGCTTCCTCACATGGAGGGGAAGGAACTTTGCACAAGGTTTTCAGTCATTTTTTTCCCACTCACTAGAAATATCTGCCAAAAAAAAACCCTCAGTCCAACCTGTATCCAGCTCCTGACATCCTTCTTTCCCCCAGGAGGAGAGCCTGGAAGGGAAAAAGGGATTTGCATATTTTATATTTTATAAATCTTCATTGTCTGTGCGTTCTAGAAAGAGAGCAGATCTGTCCTTCACCGCAGACTTTGGACTTATACTGGAAAAACTCGCCCACAAAGCACCTCAAAGGACACGTTGGATTAGGAAAAAAYAGTTGATTGATGTTTTATTGAATAGCATTGAACAGTGATCAAGATAAATTATCTCAGAGCCTRTGTGTGGTTTGAACAAACCTTGATACAAAAGCAGTTCATGGAAAAAGTTAAATATGACTATGGGGACCTCAGCTGTGGTGCTGGGCCACCAGTGACTTAAATCCCTGAGTTGTCCCTGTGTTTAACAGATCCCAGTGGGATGGACAGACAGGAAATCCCTGCAGAGCTGGGCCCACTGTTCCTGCCTTGGCAGGGCAGCCAGCCTTGCTGGTGGCTGTACTACAGGGAGTAAAGTACGAGTAATGACCTGTAGGGCTGCTTTGGGCTGGGAAAATCSSCCCTCCTTCACTGTCTGGCYTCAAAAATAACMACAATAACAAAAATAGCMACCAAATTCTGCACTGGCAGGAAAGAGACGGATTCCCTGGCCTCAAAAATAACAASARTRACAAAAATAGCAACCAAATTCTGCACTGGCAGCAAAGAGATGGATTCCCTGCCCTTCCCGGTTTTCTGCTCTCCAGCAGGGAATCCCCAGCACCGTCTGGTTGGGATGGAAGGAGGGATGTGCGGGGTGGGTGGTGCTGAGTTGTAGGGTCACAGCAGTCCCCAGAGCAGCAGGAGRTTCCCAAGGGTGACTGCCAGCAGGTGCATGAGGCAGGAGGAGAGCCTGGATCCCGATCCTGTGGGAGAGCACAGGGAATGGGATTGTSCAGGGGCACAGCACACGTGAATGGGCAGAGCCACCGCGTCACCCACTGTCCCCCAGCTGGGAACAAAGGGGATCAGCCAGCACTAAGTACGGGGTGCTCTGTCCCAGCCATCATTCCCGAGCTTTTCCCAGCTCCCATCAGTCCCCAGCATCCCCCGTACCAGGCTCAGGCTTAGGCTCCAGGTTGATGTACCCGTTGGATGTCGGCCGCGGGGACTCCGGAACGCTGCCGGGGGTTGGTGTGGGGGGCTCCCGGCTGGTGACGGTGCCAGAAGGGCTGGGGGATCCTGGAGGGGAGCTGGGCGGGCAGGGCGGGGCTGTGGATGTGGCCGGGGTGGCGATGGTGGAATTGGGGATTGGGGTGGGCTTGTGGGGAGGGGGCGTCCCGTGTGTGGCTGCGGTGGCAGCAGGGACAGAGGTGGAGTGAGGGACAGGGGTGGCACTGGCTGCGGAGGTGGGGTTGGGGACAGTTGTGATGGCAGTGGGAGAAGAGGTGGCATTGGGGGCAGGGGTGGCAGTGCTGTGGGTGGCACTGGGAGCAGAGGTGGCATTAGGGGCAGGGGTGGCAGTGTTGTGGGTGGCACTGGGAGCAGAGGTGGCATTAGGGGCAGGGGTGGCAGTGCTGTGGGTGGCACTGGGAGCAGAGGTGGCATTAGGGGCAGGGGTGGCAGTGTTGTGGGTGGCAGTGGGAGCAGAGGTGGCATTGGGGACAGGAATGGCAGTGCTGTGGGTGGCACTGGGAGCAGAGGTGACATTAGGGGCAGGGGTGGCAGTGCTGTGAGTGGTACCAGCTGGGTCAGTACCAACACCAGCACTGGTGGTGGCCCTGGAGGTGACTGCAGGGACTGGAATGGAGCTGGTAGAGGTGACACCGGGGCTGCTGGTGGCCAGGAGGGTGGTGACGAGGGTGACAGCAGGGGAGGTGGCCTTGGTTGTGGTGAGAGACTGGGGGGTGGAGCAGGGGACCATGGTGGTCAGGGCAGGGTGGGCACTGGGGGTGGCACTGGGGACAGTGGAACCCCCAGAGGGTGGGGGGGTTGGGCTCAGAGTGCTCGGGTGGCCGGTAATGGCAGTGGGGGTGGGGACAGTGGTGGGCACAGGGGTGACACTGGCTGAGGTGGTGGGATGAGGAGGGGTGGTGGCAGTGGCCATGGAGGTGACACTGGCTGAGGGGGTGACACTGGCTGAGAGTGTGGGGCTCGGGGGGGTGGTGGCCGTGGCTGTGGAGGTGACAGCAGCCATGCAGGTGATGCAGGTCAGAGGGATGGCTGTTCCCGGGGGCTCCGGCAGTCCCCCCTGCAGGCCGATGTCCAGCACACAGTCCAGCTCCCACTGGAACTGTGTCTCCACCCAGGCCCTGACAGCCGGTTCCCACTCTGCTCCCTTCAGCCCCTCCACATTGTCCCCGAGCAGATTTTTCACGTCGCAGACGCTGAGTTTCTGCAAAACACACACACAATGTCCCCCTCCTGCACCCTCACGGCCCCGAGTGCTTCCCCAGTGGGGCTGCAGGGCTAAAACTTCCTACAGGAAATGCATGAAGGTAAAAAAGTGGAGAAYTGGGGGTTTGATGGGAATGTGGGAATCTGGCCTTGAACTCCCTGCTCAGCCCTTGGCTCAGCAGGGAGAGGGACAGCAGCATCCCGGGGCTGTACCAGCAGTTCCTCGGGATTTAGGGYCAGGAAAGTGTCCAGGTCCATGTCTATGGCCACTCCTGAGTTAGCCAGCTTCTTCAGATCCTCTGCTGGAGCTCCACCTTAAAGAGAATGGCACACCTGGAGCCGTGCCAGCCCTTCCAGCACTCCTGGACAGGGGTTGGAGGGGTTCTGGGGACTGCCAGGGCTGTCTGGGGCTGAGGGAAGGACCCCAAACCTGGCAGTGGGAGAGAGGGAGGGTGGAGGTGAGGCACCTACCCARGTATGGCCGGAGCCGGCAGTAATAGGGGCCGGGGGTGCCGGCCAGGCTGGCAAAGGCCTCCCGGGCTTTCCTGTAGAACTGCTCCTTCTGGGGCTGGGAGCACGAGGAGATGTCCAACTGACCAGCAGCCCTGGAAGGGAGGGACACAGGTCAGCAGCACCCCAAAATGCAGRTAAAGTGTCCTGCTGGCTGCGAGGGACCTATGGGGTGTCCCTGTTTGCAGTGCTGAGGCTCAGGTGGGATGTGGGAGCAGGATATGACAATCCCACTGAATCCCTCTGGATCCCACTGGATCTTACTGTGCTGCCTGGGAATGGGGAGATCCTAAACAGAGCTGGGGGTCTTCCACTGCACCATTCCCCTCCCCACAGCCCCAGGGCTCTCAAGCTAGTCAGCACCCCCAAAAAGCAGCTCACCCGATGGCCTCGGCAGGGATCTGCTGGAGCTGCTCCTCCTGCAGGTTGCACAGGCGCTTCCCTCCGATTTCCCGGAGCAGGGGTCCGGTCAGGGAGCCCCCCAGGCTCAGGAACCTGCTGAGCAGCTGCGGCACCTGCGGGGCACGTGGGGACAGGGACAGGGATAGGGGATGCTCCAGGTAAGGACAGGAGCGCTGCCAAACCCCCACAAACCCCACAACGCCTTCACCCGAGCCGGGCTGGGGCACAGACGATCCCAGTTTGATGTTCCCAGCACCCAGCCCCTGCTGCTCGCACGGATTTACCTGGGAATCCTCACACTTTTCTCCCGAGGGGTTGAGCAGGGCCAGGAGGGTGTCGCTGGATGTCACCGGCCACCGGCTGATCTCCTGCTCCGAGTACAGGCGGCACAGCGACCCCAGGCGCGTCAGCTGCTCCTCCGGGATCCCCTCCGGGAAAATCTGCGGGACCCGGCCGGGGGGACAGCAAAGAGCGTGAGGGAAGGGGAAATAGGGCGGGAATGGGGGCAGAGGATTCGCTCGGCACCTTCATCSCTGTTCCCACAGCGGTCCTGCCCCTCCCAAATCTGCTGGAGGGCTCCTGTCCCGTGTCACCCTTACCTCGTCCACCTTTTTTTTCAGGATSTGCAAATAYTCRGAGGTGAATGACTGCTCCAGCAGASCCTCCAGGTTTTCTATTAAGACATCATTGCTCAGGCACAGGTCGAGCTGCTCAGGGGTGTAGTCAAGRATTAGGATGTCGTTAGCGATGGAGCTGGCGGTGATGGGCTCGGACAGACAGCCTGAGGGCAAGGAATTGTGTCAGGGAGAGGGTCTGTGTCCCCTTCCCAGCTGGCCCTGGTCCTGCCACAGGGCTCAGAGCTCCTTGGAAGAGCCCTGGAGAAACACAGGGAATCACAAAAACGTGGCTCAACCCACCATGGATCCTCCTCCCACTCCCTTTGTTCCCAGCCTGTGGAGGTGCCTCATTTGCCCTCATTCCCTAAAGTCATTCTTGAAAAACCTGGTGATTTCTTTTTGCAGCCCACTTGTACTTTGTCCTGTTAAAGGCAGCTAAAACTGCTCCGTGTYCCCTACACGAGCATCCTCTGCTCTCGCAGCGTCCTGCCCTGGCGGTGGTCCCGCCTGGAGCGTGTCCCACTGTCCCAGCTCCTTCCTGCCCTCTGCCCCCAGCTCCCAGGTAAGAGCAAACCCCCACCGTGCTGTAAGGACATTTCACCCTCTCCCCGATTTATGGCAATCCCAGATTTCTGCCTGGTCCATGGGAGAGCTCTCAGATCCAACCACTCCCGGGGCGTTTTCCCCTCCCAGAGCTCCGAACCGGCCAGAGCGAAGGGAAACACTCACGGTCCGCGCTCCGCTTCATCCTGGGACGGGAGGAAGATGATGCTGCTGMGAAGGCTCTGAGCAGGATCAGGGATTTCTCCCTCTGGGAATGTCCCTGGCTCCTGTAGGCGGCCGCGATGCTCCTCCTGAAATCCTCCCGCACCGCCTGTAGGGGATCAGAGGGTTCTGAATCCGGGGGACACAGGATCCTGGGTCCCCCAGCCTCAGAGCTGAGCTGGCTGAAGGACAAATCCCCCCGGGAGAGACCTCGAGGAAGGGCTTTACCTCGCCCACCAATCTCAGCGTGCTCTGGTTCAACGCCAGCGCGAGMGGCCCCAAATCTTGCAGAGTCCGTAAATCCCAGCTGGAGGGATCCCTGCGGCAGTGGGAAAAGCACCAGCTCAGCGTCCTTCTGGGTGCCCACCGCCCCCTCCGGGAGCAGGAGGGCTCCTTACCCGTACTCGGTGTTCCCCGTGAGCAGCAGGGCGTTGAGGGCATCCTGCTGCTCCCCTGTCAGCACCGGGCACAGTTTCAGGCTGTCCAGGACGGCGGGCCCCGAGGCCGGGATGGTGGCCGGCTCCATGTCGCACACCAGCGCCCCGAGGCTGCCGAGCTGCCGCGGCTCCAGGCGGCTGCCCCGCACCCCCTGCGAGAGAGCAGCCAGCCTCGTACCCCGGCCCGGGGAGGGGTGGGGGTCCCTGCTCACCCTCTGGGCCATCCCCACTCACCAGGCAGGTCAGGGCCCCGCGGAGCAGCCGCATCCTCCGGGCTGAGCCCCGGGGCAGCAGCTCCAGGTTCCCGCGGGATGCTCGGGCGTAAAATTCCCTGCAGCTCCCAGCGCGCACTTCGGACGGGCTGTGGGGACCAGGAGCGTGTGGGGGAGCGGGGTGAGGGATTTTGGTGGGCACGGGGGTGTTTGAAACTCTTTATCCCTTCTGAGCAATGAGCTGGGGGGTGTCGGGCACAGGATGGAGCTGCTCAAGCCCCTGCACCCCAAGCCGTGACTCCTGAGGGAGGAGAGACAACCGGGTGCTCCACAGAGCTGGGAATGCTCTGTACAAGTTAGAAGGTGCTCACAGCCACAGCCGCTTTCCCTGGGGCGTGCAAGGGCCACGCCAGCGGGCGCTGGGTGCTCTGATTCCACCCCAAACCCACAGCATCCCCCTGGCCACTCACTCGAAGAACAGCAGCAGGTCCGGTGGGAAGCTGCCGAAATCGGCCGTCAGGTTCTTGGCAGCGAGGAGCCGGGCCAGGCAGGAGAGCTGGGCACGGAGAGCGGGGCTGGTCAATGCCAAGGCGGGGAGAGTCCCCGCGGTACCCCCTGGCATCCCCGACTCCGCAGGGTTTGCAGCCTCCCCTCCTGCCCTGCCCACCTGGGCGCTGCTCAGCTCCCCGGGCTCGCTTTGCAGTCCCCGGGCGAACGCCAGGATGTCGGCAGCGGGCAGGTCGCCGGTCGGGATGCACGGGAATTCCGTCAGGAGTGAGGATGGGAAGCTGCGGGAACGGGAGGCAGCGGTTCAGCCCCCGCCTGAGCTCCCCGAAATCCCGGGAACGACAAATCCACTCGTTCCTTTGCCAAAACCCTTTGCCCTGAGCGAGGCTGCTTGGGGTAAGTGGGAATAACGCAGGGTGTCATGAAAATGCCCCTGATTTCAGTGCCAGGGTGGTGCCATCCTCACGGCCGGGTGCGGGTCAGGGGTGCCCTCCTTATCCCGGGATTTGGGTGAGGGAGGAACAGCAGAGCCCGGATTTCAGCGCGGGGAGGCTCCCGCTGCAGCCCCGTCAAGGAAGGAGAATTCTCGTCTCTGTGTTTGTGTTTCAGCAGGAGCCAAACCCGCCGGAATCGCAGCGCAGAACCGGCTGCACAGGGCTGTAAATCCTCCCCACCCCGGTGACCTGGCACGGCAGCCAGGCCGAAAATGGGGTGGGAAATGCAAATTCACCGCTCCGGACCCCCCGGGGACCCCCCCCCCAGACCTCTGAGCCCCCGCCGGGGCCGGTGCTTACTCGGGATGCTCAGCGTTGGACAGGACGGCTCCGATGATCGGGTCAGCCTGGGGAGAGGATGGGGGATGCTCAGCCCCAGCCAGGAATGGGAAGAAGGGATTTGAGACGCAGGGAATGGGATCTGAGCCGGCTGGAGSGCCCAGTCTGCTGCCCGTGAGCCACAGGCGGGTGAGAGCTGCAGCAGCCCCTCGGTTATTCGTGGGGACAAAAGCCACCACAGCCACTGTCAGGAGTGGGGACCCTTTGTGGGGTCTGTCCCTGTGTCCCTGGAGCTGAGTTTGGGAACAGGGCAGGAAAGCTGCCGGRCAGCAGGYGAGGGATGGGACAAGGACAGGGCCACGCTCTGCACAGGGGACAGCGGGGAGGGGGTGGCTGTGCCTCCCAGGAGCTGAGGGATGGGACAAGGACAGGGCCACGCTCTGCACAGGGGACAGCGGGGAGGGGGTGGCTGTGCCTCCCGGGAGCTGAGGGATGGGACAAGGACAGGGCCACACTCTGCACAGGGGACAGCGGGGAGGGGATGGCTGTGCCTCCCAGGAGCTGAGGGATGGGGGGACAGTGACGGCTCCAGCTGTGGAGTTTTGGGAAAGCCCTGGCACGGTGGGAGCTGGCAGAGCTGGCAGGGACTCACCGCTGTGGCTCTCAGCAGGTCCGTGGAGACACCTGCAAAGTAGCAGGAGTGTGTTAGGAAACATCCATGGATCAGCTACAGGAGCTCGGGTTTCTCCGAGCAGCTCCAGGTTTAAAGCCTGGGAAGAGCTTTTCCTTTGCTAATTTAATGTTTAGGAAGTGCAGGAGATCGCTGTCCAGAGAGCAGCCCCCAGCCCGAAGGCYCCCAGGTCCCTCCAGGTGGGTACAGAAGACAAAAAGGGATAAATCCATCCCTGGAAATCTGTCCGTGCAGGGAAAGCCAGTGGATGCTGAGGGGAGCTGGGAGSGCCAAAGCCGAGCGGGATTGGGATGAGGAGCAGCAGATCTGGAGCATCCCTGGCACCAGGGGGTRGGCAGGGGTCCTGGGGCAGTGTTTGGGGGTCGGGATGTGACTCACAGAGGCAGAGGGTGACGGCTGCCAGGGCTGGGGGTGCCCACGCCATGGTGCTGGTGCCGGGGCTGGTCCTCAGAGCAGGTCTGGAGAGCCGTGTCCTAAACTTGGAATGGTTGGAAGGTGCTGGAGGTCCCGGGGCTGATTGTGTCACCCAACCCTGGGGCTGGAGCTGTGGGGTCAGGGGTCTCAGTGTGCCCACCCCTGCTCTGAGATCCTGTACAGGCCCCCAGGGACCAAAAGAGAGATTTTAAATCCTATAGAGAAGAAAACAGGACTTCCCCCACCCATTATTAAATAAAATTCTGCAATTTTCCCCTCTGACAGCCAGAGGTCTGCTTTTCCCTGTGCCCTGTAGGGACAGGGTCCCCCTCCATCCTCCAGCTCCTCGTGGGACCACACCAGCACGGATTGGGAGAAACCCAGTGTGACCCAGTGGGAGAGCCCCAGCAGGTGCTTCCCACCCCTCCACATCCCTCAGGAGGATCCTCTGATAGAAAATCAACCCCTTCTACTGAAATTCCCTCAAGGCTCCCCACAGCAATGCATTATCACCATTTGAACTCAACGCAAGGAATTTCCCCCTTTAAATCTCATTTTTCCCCCCTCAGTCCTACCGTGGCTGTGCAGAGCCGTTCTCCTCCTCCTCGTCGGGGGGGATTTCGCTCCCCGATGGGAGGATTCAGCCGGGAAGGCGCTCCTGGCGCTGGGGCAGGGGCTGGGCAGCACCGGGAGCGCTCGGCACTTTATCTGTGCGGGGTGGGGATGTCGCTCCGCACACGGGGTGTGACGGGGCAGTTTCTCAACTCTGTTTTGTCAGGCTCCTTTCCTTCTGCCTGGTTTTGGTTTGTGGTTGTTTCCCATCCCTCGGTAAAGGGTCATTTGGAGCTCTGGGTTCAGCTGAACCCACAGTGAACCCAGAAGGAGTTAAAGCCTCTGGTTGGGAGTTTCTGTGCTCATGAGGGGGATGAAGGTGCTCCCGGGTGAGGGGGAAACCTTTAGGGCAGAACAGCCAAGTGCTCAGCGATGGGCTCAGCACCCTTCATGAGATGCTTCCCCTTGTCTCTCCTTTTTCCATGGATCACAGCCGACCCCACTCCTTTTTTTTAGTTTTTCAGCATTTTCCCTGATCATGCTCCAAAACGCTGTCCATCATGTGCCACTAAGGAGACCAACACCAAAGGAATCAAAACCTTCCCGAGGCTCCGAGAGGACGGCCTGGAGGAGCTGTGAGCACAAACGTTATCTGAGTGTTAATCCCAGGAAAAGGGACAGGTGAGGATAGTTGGAGCAGGCTGGAGCAGGGCTGCACCCCACCCTCGGCCAGGTTTGGGGGTCCAGCCCTCACTGAGGGTCCCTGGAGCTGCTGGCACGGTGCCAGGAGGGTTTTGTCACCTCTGGAGCTGCTGGCCCTGTCCCGCCCCCAGCCCCGTCCCCCAACCGGTCCTGCAGCCCCAGGGCTGGGTCGCCGCCCGCGGGTGTTGCTGGTTTCTATTTTGGAAGGATTTACTGTAAAAATAGCTCCWGCACGGCGGTAAAATGACAGGAACTTGTTTTCTGTGAGGCTGCTGGAGCGCCGCAGCCTCTGCCCCAGGCTGGCTGGACAGAGGTGGCTGGAGCAGGAGGGCAGGGACACATTGGGGCCCTGAGGGGGGTCTGGGGGCACTGAGTCCACACAAAACTGACCCTGAAACACCCTCAGGAGGATCCACCCTAAACTTGAACATGAGGAGCACCTGCCCAAGGTTCCAGGTCAGTGCTGGGCTCTGACTGCATCTCCCTGTGCCAGGTGGGTTGGGAATGCTCCCTCCCCTCAGCCAGCTGCTCCCTGCCCTGGCCAGGTTCATAATGCTAAAAAATCTTCCACTTTTAAAGAGTACAAACAATTCCTTTGGGTGTTCAGTCAGTTTTACCTCTCCTCCAGCCTGAGGCATGTCTGTTTGCGTCATWCAGAAATCACAGGGACATGGAATGGTTTGAGTTGGAAGGATCTCAAAGCCTGCCCTTCTCCAGGCTGGACAACCCCAGCTCTCCCAGCCTGGCCCCAGAGCAGAGGGGTTGCAGCCCTCAGAGCATCCCATCATGGACCCTTCCTGGTGGCAGCTGTCCCTGAGCAGCCCCTGAACCCCCTCCCCACCCTCCTGCCACGCAGAACCACCGTGTTCCCAAACCCAGAGCTTTTCAAAACCACAGTGTTCCCAAACCCAGAGCCTTTCTGAATCAGTGTTCCCAAACCCAGAGCTTTTCAAAACCACAGTGTTCCCAAACCCAGAGCTTTTCTGAACCAGTGTTCCCAAACCCAGAGCTTTTCTCCCGTTCCTGCCCGGTGGTTTGGGACAACCCCAGTGGCCGGTGCTGGCCCGGGAGGGCGGGGACAGGCAGTGACATCTGCCCCAGCCCCGCYATCACCCCCGGCCACCTCTGTTACTAAAGCCGGGAGGGCTCCGGGCCGCTCATCCCGGCGGTTTCGGCCGGGGGAATTCCAGCGGGGCTCGCAGCAATTCCGCCGCTCACACAACAGGTTGGCCGGGTCGGGGCCGGTCCGGGCTCATTCCTGGCAGGATGGACGCGGAGAGCGGACAGTGCAGGACAGAGACACGTTTAATACAGCAAACACAACAATTCGGCAATCGCGGGGTGCACGGGGCGTCGCGGCCACACCACAAGCCCGGGGCAYGACAGGAGGAGCGGGATGGGGACACGGCCCCGCAACGCAGCCGGGAGGGGAACCTGGAGAACTTCCTCGGCAGGGTAAGGAAAATTCCTATTTATCTGCGGTGCTGGGGGAAAGTGCAGCACGCGAAGATTGGGGTGGGGTGGGTGGGGTGCGGGCGCTTCTTGATGCAGCCACGGGGCGAGCTCGACGTGCCAGCCCCATCCATTGTCCCCTTGTCCCCACCCCACCGCTCACAGCCCCATCCCAGCCGCGTTCCCAGCAGGAGCCGCTCCCACAGCGGGGCCTCCGGGAAGGCTGAGTCCCCCCGGTGACGCGCAAATCTCCGCTGGCACTTTCGAGCACCTCCCGTGCGCGTCACCCCCTCGGTTCTTCGGCAAACAGAGCCGCTGTGCCAAATCCCGCTGCGGGACCGTCCCCTCYCGGCCACTCCTGGCAGGACGTACGTGGGGCTCCTGCTCGTCCAGAACCCCCAAAACCTCTGGCACCAGCTCGGAGCCCACCAGGGCTGGCAGCTCACACCACCCCCACCCCGCAGCGGTGGCACCAAGCCACAAAAGGAAGGGACACAAGGGACAGGTGACCCAATTCCCCCCGGGGATTTCGGTGACTTGCAGGGTGTGCTCGCCCACAAGRACAGGGCTGTGACTTTTTATGCCCCCTTAGGGTGGGAATATCAGCTGTGTGAGCCCCATCAGGGGTGTTTTCAGCGGGATGRCACGGGTGAGGTGCCAGGGCAGGTGCTGATGGGGTACCCCAAACCCATCCCTCCCCAGCTGTCCCGTTCTCCTTATTCACAAACGTCCTCCGAGGGCTGCAGAGGATGAGCAGCATGGAAAGGGGAAAGCAAAGCAGGATGACCAGCAAAGCAAGGGCACTTCCAAGGAAATTTCTTGGCATTTGTCAAAGCTGAGCTCCTGCCTGCTCTTCCCATCAGCTCTCAGCCTTTTCTTCAGCTCCATCCTTTTCCTGCTGCTCCAGAGCTTTCCCAAAGTGCCCCTCTGGAGGACCAGCCTCCAGGAGCCTCAGAAAGCTGCCAGGCAGGACCCACACCATGGGACCAGCGCAGGACACTCATCCCTCCTCGACTGAGTGAGCACAAAGGGCTCAGACCCTCTAACCTGTCTCAGCAGGGGCTAAACCCGGGGTAAAAGCAGGAAAGGCAGTGCTAGTAGCAGGAATAATAAAATCCATTAAAAAASCTTTGGGCTGCTGGCTCTCCGACCACAGAAGTACTAAAAATACCTCATTCCCAAGACCACCCGTATTTTACAAACCCTAAAAGACTAAATTCTCTTCCTAGAAAATTGAAAAAAGTTTAAAATCCATTGGTATCRACTCCTTGACCTTCACCAAACCTTTAAAAACCCCCCAGGTGGGCTGAGGGAGGGAGGGGGTKTGGGACAGGGACCTCTCCATGCCCATCCCAGTTCAATTCCTCCGGACACCCCGGTACTGGGGGGCTGTCAGTACTCCAGCCCCACAATCTCCCACCTCCCACACGATACAGCAGCTGAAGGGAAGGGAACAGGAACGGGGAACACAGACACCAGAGCTGCACGTTCTCCCCTCCCTGTGCTGGGCTGCAATTCTACACCCAAGCAAGGAGGGGCTGTGGAATGTCCATGGCAAAGGCAGTGTCCGTGCTGCCCCGAGCCCCAGGCCAGGGATGGAAAGCTTTGGGGTCACTCTAAGCTGGAATGTGACACTGAMTCTGCTGCCCAGGACTGGGAAAGGGACATCCCGTAGCCAGATGGATGATGGACATCACAAAACAACCCCATCTCAACCGCTCCTCAAATCCCTCTGATCCCAGCCCCAGGAGCGAGGGAAGCCGTACGGGGAGTGCAGGAGTGGAGTCAGCRCTGGGCTCTGTGGGGACCCACTGGGACAAAGACAGAGCTGGGAATGCAGGGATGTGGTTTGGGCTCACTCCAGAGCCCACTCAGCCAACCACTGCTCACAGCGGGCCCGCTGCTCCTCCGCCTCCTCCCTCCCGCCTTCATTCCCTGCCTCATCCTCTCCGGCAGCGTGCTCGGCTTCCCGCCTCTCCTCCTCCTCCTCCTCCTCCTCCTTCTGCGCTCCCTGGTCCTTGAGCTCCTGGATGATGTCCTCCAGACGCCGGCTGACCTGCTGGGGCACCCAGTTGCTGTCCATGGCGGGGACGAAGGGGTCGGGCGCACACACCTCGATCAGCTCCTTGCCRGTGGGGATGCGCAGGTAGTAGGCGTGGAGCATCATCCGGTAGGGATTGCTGTCCTGCCGGCGGCTGTAGGTGATGTCCCCCACGATGGGGTGGCCRATGGCGCTGCAGTGAACCCGCAACTGGTGAGTCCTCCCTGCGGGGAGAGCGGCAATCAGGGATGGGGAATGCCTGAATCCCTCCTTTGGGGTGACAACATGCCTAATGGCATTGTCCCCTGTGGCAGAGAGCCCTGAGCGTGGCAGTTCCCAGCTTCCCTCATCCCTCTCCAGGCCCTGTTCCCATGTGGGAGCTGTCCCTGTCCCCACCTGTCAGCGGCTGCAGCAGCACTTTGGTGACGGGGTCTCCGCTGTAGGATCCGTRCTCCAGCACGATCAGCTCTGACTGRCACGGCTTRGGATTCTCACAGCCTGCAAYRAGATCCAGAGGGGTTTTGTGATCCCCCAGCACATCCCAGGGGCTGTGGGCAGAGCAGGGACTGGGGGATCCTCACCCTCCGTGCCGTCAATGCACATCATGTGGGTCATGCCCTCTGTGGTGTTCTTCCCGATGGCGTAGCAGATCGTCATCCGGCTCTGGTTCACGTGGCCCCGAACCTGGGGGCAGCAACAGGGCTTGAAACTGGGCCTTCACCCACCCCTCTGTGATAGGAACCATGGAATCACAGAAGAGGTGGGGTTGGAAGGATCTTAAAGCCCATCCATTTCCCAAAGCCCAACTCCCTGCCATGGGAAGGGACACCTATCACCACCACCCCAGGGTGCTCCAAGCCCCGTCCAACCTGGCCTTGGACACTTCCAGGGATCCAGAAGCAGCCACAGCTCCTCTGGGCGACCTGTGCCAGAATTCCTTCCTAATAACCAACATAATCCCACCCTCTAATGGTGTGAAGCCATTCCCCCCTGTCCTGCCCCTCCATCCCTTGTCCCCAGTCCCTCTCCAGCTCTCTTGGAGCTGCTTTAGGCACTGGCAGGGGCTCTAAGGTCTCCCTGGAGCCTTCTCGTCTCTGGCTGAACACCCCCGACTCCCTCAGCCTTCCCTGCCGGCAGAAGGGCAGGGCAGAGCGTGGCAGGGGACCTCACCAGGGCCAGATAGGCTTTGGTCACCAGGCGCTCCTTGAAGCACTTGTAGGCGCTGCCCGCTGCCGCTTTGTTGAGCGCCACACAYAGGGCCCCACTGGTGGAGAAATCCAGCTGGTGGCAGAACCTGGGAAGGACACGGGGGTAGAGGAGCATCCCGGGGTGTCTCCAGCTGAGGGCAGAGCGGACCTGATGCCCGGCTGCTCACCTGAAGCCGTAGTAGGTGTCGGGGTCAGCCAGCTCGGGGAAGCGGTGCTTGAGCTGGCTCTGCAGGGTCAGCGTCTCGTACCACATCTTGCTGTCGATGCGCAGGTCCCAGTGCTTGTTGACCACGATGAAGTCGGAGCTCTGGTACAGGATGGACAGGTTGTCGATGGTGCCCGGCTCCATGGCCAGCGCCCTGCGGGGAGGAAGCGAGGAGGGACGGGGATGAGCGGGACAGGATGGGCACAGCAGCCCMGGGAGCGACGGGACGGGCTGGGAGGGGCCCGAAGGTGGGATATSCCATCAGGAAATGGAGATGGACCCACGGAGCTGCTGTGGGACCARTGTCACCCTGCACTGGTGCCAGAGCGACACCGCTGTCACCGTGCCTGTGTCCCCAGCCTCACCGCTGTCACACCATGTGGAGGCAGGTCCTAAGCGGTTCCGGTGCTACAGCAGCGCCACAGCCACCGCCATGCCCATGGCTCGCCGCAGGGCTCCGCCACTGTCCGGTGTCCCGGGACGCCCCGGCGYCACGCGTGGATGGCCCATCCCCGTCCCGCTGTCACTCGCGGAGGCCCCGCAGCCGCGCGGTGCTGCCTCTGCCCATCCCGACGGCGGSGATCGGCCTCGCCCCGCTCCCCACRSCAGCCGCGCCGCGATCSCGGCAGCTCCSCCGGAGGGCACGGGACAGAGGGGAGGGGACAGGGAACGCGGGGCGGGGACACGCACGGCGGAGGGAAGCCGGGACAGGGTTGAAGTGACCCGGGACAGGGCGGAGGGGACCCAGGACACTGCAGAGCGGACCCGGGACAGGGC